CCTCCTGGGAGCCACATATCATGTCACATATTTTTTCTGAAAAATAGATAAGCTGCACAAAAGACTGTCTGCCAAGCTCTGTAGCCTAAATAAGTCAAGGACAACAGTTCTGTACTATAATAGTAATTCAAAATAGTAAAGTTTTGCAATGTTGAAAGTTTGATTAAAATGACTGAACATGATGAGAAAAAATAGGAGTTGTGTCAAAATCTGAAATTTACCGTTACTCTACTTTGATCCAAAAGTAGACTTGATATACTTAGAGCATTGCATAAAATTGCAGTCTGTAATAAAAGTCTCCTCTGAAGGGACCAATGAACTAGTATTCCCTATAATGCCTAAGTAATCCATACATGAGTGGGCTGGTTTGCAAAATACCAATGCAAGTATGTGATAGATGCAGTCCAAATAAGGGAAACAGGGAAGACTGGAAGAATGAATCTGACTTCCTTACTAATCCTATTCTCCTTTTTGTGCCATCCTCTGTACTGTGTCTTCCTTTTCACTGATAAAGGGCCCAGGCCCCTGATTCAGACATCCTTGTGTACTGCAAAAAAAGGAAATCCAAAATTGACTCTTGGACTCTCCTGCTGTAGCCTTCCTAGTCTGGGAGACTGACAACTTCTCCCAGGTGCTGTCAAGTCCTTGCTTAGCACTCTCTTAATTATTAGAGTTTTTTTCTCCCCTGCCTGCTGCTGTTTCTGGAATTGAGGCTATGTAATTGAAAGGTCAGATTCTGACCATGCCTAGCATGTAAATAAAGGGAAAGTTGCTTAATTCAGCAGAGTGGAACTCACTCCATATGTGAGCGCTGAGTCAGATTTCTGTTCCTGCAGCAACCTTGCTGATTGTAGTTACCTGTGCTTCTAGCTGTAGCACCTGGAGGTGGCATTAATGGTTTGATCTAGACCCATCTCAGTTCCCTAAAATACACTCTACTGCTCAGGTGTATAAAGTTGCTGTCATAGTCTCTGGGCCTGGTGGAGATTAGATGCAGCCGCACTGCCAGAGAAGTCCTGCAGCTACGGCTGGCAGAAGGTCCCATGGCGGGGTGTAGCTGAGCATGCTGGAATTTGGACAAGCCTCAGCTTGAGTCCCATCCTTCCAAAGTTGTGTTATCTTGTGAAAATGCAGAACTGTCCTGACTTTGGGAGCAGGCAGAGATCTACCAGATGAAAGTAACTCTTCGTATCTGCAGGTATCTCTTACAAGGCTTTCTTCCTTTTGATCCATTTTTCTTTCCAAATAGAACATGTAGGGAGCAAACTGGTGCATGTGATGCTTTCCACTGTGCCCTTTGGAGACCAAAAGCCACATCAAGCAGGAGATTTATGAGTTGCTGGCAATAGATGCTTCATATTCTGTTATTACATTTAAGATGATGAAAGAAGAACAACTGACTTTCATGGCTATGAAAGCAGGAGGAAAACTGCCCGTGGATAGATGAAGCATATGCATCATTGGATAGAAATTAAGGTGTTCGTAACTTCAAATCCTGATTTGAAAAGTTCAAGATAGAAGAAAAATATCTGAGTAAAAGATGTGAAGCAGTTCATAAGATTTTAACTCAGATACACTCGGGAGAATATGTCCAAAGGTAACATTATGATTCATTAACTATCCCTAATTAGGCTCCTAAATTTAAGTAGACAGAATCTCCCCTGGAGGTTTTCAAAGGCACCCACCTTTCACTGTTGATGATACCGGGAGCTTAGGAACATAGCCTATTTAAGGAGGACTTCTTCATTATGTGCCTACGGAGCGTGCATGGGTTGCTTTCCCAGATTAGGTGAACTGGATCTTTTAATAAGGTTATTGCATTCCTGGGCAGGCAGAAATAGGAGAAATCAGGGGAAAGTGTTCTGCAGCCCTGTGCAAAAGAGGGAGAGGCTGGGAGGGAGCAGTGCTTCTGTCTGTCTCTGCCCCGTGGAATCTCAGTTGGAGGTGCACCATTTCCTAAATCTCCTTCATCTCCTAAAGCCTCTCACACCACAGGGCCATACAGCTGCGAGAGGTTTCTCTGGGAGGAATGGTAAGACTGAGCTAATCTGTGTTGCACGGGCTTTGTTTCTGGACTGGAATTACTTCCACTTCTGAAGTCACTTCTCTGATTGCAGCTGCATGAGAAAAGGATGAACATCTCCTTTTCTGTGGAGGACAAACAAGATAAAAGGTTGTCTGTGTTATATTTATATTCTTATTGCACAGCCTTTCTGTAGTTAGCTGCTGTCAGAAGATGCAGTAAAGGGCGAAGCATCTGGGCTGTCTAAGGAGTAGTCTTGGCAGAATGCTCTGAAAATTTGTGAGTTGTGTCAGGCATCCCAGCTTGTACCTCTTCCCACCAGTCCCAAAATCACCAGCAGAAGAGATGGATTTCTGCTTCGGGCAGCGCCTGAAGGGAGGAGCAGGGGAGGATAGCCCTAGTGCAGGCTGTGGGCTCAGGGAGGTGTAGGTGGCTTTGGTTATGGCAGGGCTATTTTCCCAGACAGGCTCACTTGATTTCCACATGGTGCTTGGAAGCAGACTTACTGTAATTGCCGTGAGTCACTTCCTTGTTATCGGTGGTTTGGAACCACTGCACACAGACTAACTCCCTCTTTCTTTTGGGTTTTGCATTCAGTTTCAGGATTGCAGACTATATCGATGCTGGGTGAAAAAATTCCCTTTTTAAAATGTCTGAAGCAGGTGGAAAGCTGAGGTCTTGACCACTTGTGTTTGTTAAGCCTCTACTCTGGTTTTTTTTGTGAGAGTGATGATTTTACATGACAGCCTGTTGATCAAATCCCAGCTTTCAGACTTATGTTCTGTTGCACTAACTCCCTTCATGTCTTCTGCTGTCTCCTGGGACACTTCACACTGCCTGTGTAAACTGTACTATACTTTTACTCTACATATGATATAGGATGCCCAACGGTATGATACGGCTTTGCAGCGAAGGCACAGAGTTGATGTCCAGTGCACTCAGCCTTTTACACGGGGGCGCACAGGACATCTAGCTCCTCATGGAGACATTTGAGAGCTGTAGGATCTGATGGTCTCATATCAAGTGATTATACCTATATCTGACTGAAAAGCTCTCCTGTCAGATGAAGGGAGAATGCCTGGTGGCAGGGTAGGAATTGAAGGTAGGCTTGGATGTCTGACATGACACACGTGATCACGAGAAGAGCCAAAACCTCTTGCCATGTGAGGGTTTTATTCATGCAAAAAAACCCCATGCAATGGGGTTTTATTCACTTGAAAGGGGCATATCCAGCACTGAGCTAGATGGGGCACAAGCAGCTGGAAAAGGTTTTGGCTTGCCCCTTGGCCATGTCTGAGGCCCTTGGGGAAAAGCCAAGGCGGTAGGCTGTGTCTCAATTTACTTTTGTTAGTCAAATTAGCATCTTCCACCCCTATGTTTCTAGCCACACAGTGGTGTTAGTGTTGTCAGCTGGTGCAGAGACTTCTTACGTATGGGATTTTTTCCTTCTTGCTCTGTTATTATATTGTGATTTTTTGTGGTCTGACACAGCCAAAATCCATTATTTAATAGATATTGTTGACTGATTGCTTAGTGAATTTACGTTTTACAGCACATAAACCACTTTTAATTCTGCAATCTGAGAGTGCCGTGTACCTTGCGTATGTGCTAAGGAATTGCTTTCTTGTAATAGTTCAGAAACACGAATGATCCCATTTCTGGCTGGATGATACGCATTCTCAAGTCTCAAACAAAAATCCTTCTGAGCTGCTACCTCTAAAAACCTGCGGTAGTTTATATTGGGTGTTTACTCACAGTAGGATTTTTTTTATTATTTTAAAAATATGTTGAGCATCAACAGTTCCTGGCCTCAACCTGCCCGGATAAAAGACTTGGTTGTAATTTTCATTGGTGAGGCAGTCATGTTTTGTTGAAATTGCACTATGCTTCAAACATTCACAGGAGGATTTGCTGAAGGTCCTGCAGATCTGCTTTAAGCACACTGAACTTTCAGGGTAAACCTTATGGGCTGGATGTGCACAAGTGAATATATAGCAGAGGACTGGGAATGACAAGCCCCCTGTGTGTATGTTTTTAAGACTGAACTTTCATTGATCTCCCCTCCAGCTGACTGATCTGTATATACAGTGATGATGGAGGTCAGGGGATAATTGCTTCCTGGGAGTGGAAGTCTTTAAGCATGTTTAGGACTGAGCAAGCATCAGGAAACATCAAATGATCAAGACAGAAAAGAGGGGGGATGGTTTGAGTGCAAGGGTGAAGTATAGGGAGCCTGAGTTTTTTTCCTTTCTTTGGCGCAGATTCCCTCTGTGAGATTGGACAAATCATTTTGATATTTAAACGCTTTCAAAACTCTGTCCCTGGGCCAATCCCCCATGTGTAAAATTCGGGGGCTATAGCAGTCAAATGTTTTGATTAGGGGAATAATATATGTACTTAAACTGAAACGCACAGCAGCTTATTGGAAAATAATTCCTCAGAAAGAGCAATATACCTCTTCAAAATAAACTCTTATGGCAATTGCCTGAACCCCCAGAACTGAAGTGTTTAAAACTAAATAGATCAAAATAGTAGAAAACACAGCAAATTATCTTGATGAACAGAGGCGAGGTATCTGCTGGCCTTTTCCATCTCTTAGCACTGTAATTCAGAATTTTGCTGCTTGTAGGCACAGTAACTTCTTTTCATCAGCCCTCAGTTTTCTGGCCACACAAGAGAGTGTTTGTGTGAAAATCCCAGCAGAAGGAGTTTCCACCAAGTACAAATAAGGATACAGTCAGCAGCACCAGCATGTGCCTTTTCACACTGTCCTGACGGTTGCTTGTACCCGAATCTGATGGGTCTGCTCTGCCGGTGAGAGCAAACTCCAGCTTTGATTTTCCTTTGCCCCTGTTCCTGCAGGAGGGAAGCTGCCAGGCAGTGGTGGTGAGGTTTGGTTGTGAGATTGATACCATTAATTCATTGCAAATGGGTAATGCAGGTCTTGGATTGGGAACTGGTATAAATTATTGCTAGCATGACGTTGATTCAGACAGATGAGTGGTGGGAGCTGGTAGCTGGGACTGCTTTTAAAACAGATGCAGAGAGATTATATAAAGACTTGAAAGCCTGTGAGGGCAGAGGAATGAACCTGCGGATCCAAAAGCTCCCTTGCAGGTTTATAACCTAGAACCGCCTTCTGCAGGTGCCTTCACGGCATGTCACGGCAATGGTGACACTTCGCTCTCCAGATTGAGTCCTGGCTCATGCAGAGTCCAAGCGGCAATGCCTGAGTGGACCCCAGGATGGGTGGCAGAGCATGGCTTGCCATTTGGAAAGTTCCACCTCTGCCTGCGTTGCTCTGCTGCCCAGCCCACGTTACTGGAGAATTTTATCATTTGATAAATACCCACATCTCAGTGCTGACTGCTACCCCCTGAGAGACCGAAGGTCCCCAGAGGTCCCCAGAACAGTTCAACTCTCTTCCAGATGATCCCAACTCATTTCTCGTGTGCATTTTGAGGTGCAGGGCTCCTGAGTATCAGGCATGTTAACACTTTGATTGAAGAACCTGTTTCTTCCCCCCTTGTCCACCTATATCACTTGTTCTGCTGACTGAGTTGCTTTAACTTCTCCACTTGATTGAATGGAGCAGGCCAAGTGGCAACCTTTCCCTGCCAGGATTTCTGTGCTTGATGCTGAGATAAGACTAAAATCCCAGGTACTTTTTTCTGGTGGTTTTTATCATAAATAGCTTTTCTTGACATCTTGCTTCAGTTCGTGCCATGCTTTGTGTCAGATGCACTCCTCTCTGGAGAATTTAAGGAGGGTATTTCAAAGGAAACAGATGTTTAATCTTTCTTGTGGAGCTGGCTGCCACACAGAAGCTGACTGGAAATTGTGAGGTGTTTTGCATTTGAGAAAGCCTTTCCATTTTATTGTCTTTCTAAATCATGCTATCTAACCTGTGTATTGGTTTAGCGTCGTATAAACGAGAAAAAGAGCAGACTTGCTGCGTGCCATCACTCTACTCTTTGCCGAGATAGGACTTTGCTTGCAAAATGTCCTCAAGATGTTTATGGAGTCCTCAGAGAAAAACGGTCCCTTGAAATGGGAAAGTCCTAGGTTCGTGTGCTCTAGACATCCTGTGTTGCACTAAGTTGCTTACACAGTTTTAAAGAGGTTTAGTCGCTGAAGTGAAGACAAGCTCCTCTTAGGATTTTTGAAAGTACCAAAGTGCATGTTAATCATGGACGTTAAGCACATGTCTGCTTTTGGGAATCTCTCTTCATAGCCACCTGTGTTTTTAGGCACCAAATGCCTACTTGGTAGTCATCTTACTTCCTCTGCCATCCCAAAGAGATAACAGCACAACCCTACCCCATTAAGCTGCTCTGACAATAAATAGTTTCTATGAATGATTCCCTCTGAATACTTCTCCATCTCTACTCTTCCTTGGAATGCTATTGACCAGTTGCTGACTGATTTAGCAACGTTTTGCTTTACCCTGACTCCTCTCCTGGTCCCTTAGGTAGCATTTGTTGTTGTGGTGGCACAGATGCCAAGGTGAAAGAGCCAAAACTCAATTCCCTGGGTGTGCTTAATTCTTTCCCCTACTTGGCTTAAATGTTTAAGTGTCTGGTGGTGTCAACTTTTCAAAGAAAGATGCAGATCCACCCAGCCTGTGTTGTGCCCCAGAGATGGCCATGAATACTGGGAGATGAAAGGAGGTGTTTATGAAGAGTGAGTCTGAAACATGAAAGACTAGTCAAAATCTGCTAAGAAATTGCCTCTGTTCCTTTTGCTTCATTTTCTTCACTGGATGCATATCAACAGGTTAGTGGGATGCAGTTTGGATGAAAAGTGTGTAAGGGAAAACTGACTTGTCTCTTTTAAATGCCTTTCAGGTCCTCAGCCTGAGATACAGCAAAAGGGCTCTTTATTTCTGGAGAGTGCTGAGCCCTATGCCCTCTGAATATCGGGTCCCTTTTGGTGCCTCAAATTAGGCACCCAGAATTGAAATTCTCCCCGACTGTGTGGTTTGCAGGACAATCCCTGTTCTACCCACCTCGTCCCCAGACTTTCTGATATTTCTATGGCACAAGTACCCACCTTGCTTCTGTCTAATTCCTCACAGGGGATGTGTTTCTTTTGCTGCCTTCCCATCAGAAGACAGTTGCCAATTCAGGTTTCACTAGGAACTGCTATGCCAGCTCTTTGATATTCAGAAACTGTGGGGTTTTAGGTCTGTTTCCTGACCTAGCATGAGTCTACTAATAATGCAAGAACTCCAGTGCTGATATCTTGGCAGCCTAATATAGGAGGTCAGTCAGTAAATATAGTTGTAATTTTCTTTGCCTCAGCAAAGACAGTAAGTCGAACACAATGTAAACAAGGTGGTTGGATCATGTCCCCCACCAGTAATATTTGTAGTTATGCAGGCAAATTTAATGGGCGTGATTAAATCTCATGCTCCAGCTTGGCAGCTGATTAGCTGCAGGGGGCAGGCAGGAATTTCCTTTCTGTTCCAGGGTTGCACGCTTTCCAAGTCCTCCTTCATGCTTGTGCCAAGGATCTCAAAGTGCTTTGCATTTTTAATTACGCTTCTTCACACCCTTGTGAAGAATGGAGATGAGAGATAGCACGATCAGCAACGGAGCAGTGGGAAAGCTGAGGCAGGAGGAGAGGGCATCCTGTGTGGGACCAGAGAGGCAGTTGCCATTTAGACTTGGAGAAAGGAGACCTGAGCATCCCAGAAATTTTCTCTTGGGGTTTCTGTGGGTCTAGTGAACTTGTGCCTAGTTCTCAGCAGTCTGTGTCTTTAACACACTAAAATCTTGATTGTCTGCAGGGACAAAACGATGCTTTTATGTATATATTACTATACACTCACTGAGAGGGAAAATATATCTTTCGCCTCTGGAAATTTTAATTTCTTTGTTTTTGTCTTTCATCACTCTATTCCTCTAATTTCTGAGCAGAATGGCCTGTATACGTGTTTCTTCTCTTTGTATGGAAAAGCACTTTGCTCTGAAATAGCCTCAGGTGTCGGCCGTGGCTGAGGCGGAGAACTGGTTCAACTCCATAAATGACATGTTGCTTTGTCCCTACAGGGCAAATTAGCGAATTTCTGTGTGGATTCACCTTCAGTGGGTGTACACTGAGGTAGCTACACCGACTTTGATTTTTTTACCTGGATGTACAGCTGAAGAGCTGGCCTTGCAACATCAAGGAGGAGAAAATACTCTCAAGGAGGAGAAAATACTCTTCTTATTAAGGCATGCTTTGGTCCGAAGAAGAGACCACAGATGTCCTGACAAAACTGTCACATATTAACCTCTCTTGCCTATGTATTGCTAACGCTGTGGCTGATGAAACACAGAGAGCAGCAAGGATTAGCTGAGTCTTCACCCTTCTTCTCAGGATGGTCGGAATGGAGAATGGGCCTTTCCTAGCCCCTACTTAAAGGCTAAAGCCCGATGGGGAACAGTGTATTTTGGATCTCACAGGGTGGGGAGGGTTTCTTACAGGTGGAGTTTCTTACTTCTGTGGCAGATGATTTAAGCTTTATGATTTCACCTGAGCAGCATCCTTCAGAGGCTGGTTTTGTGAATCTGGAATGGGCAGAAACTTCTAATGTGCAGTCTCCAGCCAGCAACTTGATGGCTGGAGAAAGGCAGTAATTCAGGCATGCCCTATAGTCCCCATTGTTAATGGGACATCTTGCCCAGCCCGCTGCCGTGGTAGGAACAGAGGTGTCTAGCTGGAGGGCTCTGAAGCCTAGGGCTGAGGCCAAAGCCTGGCTTACTAGGCATTTCAGTTTCTAAGGTGGGTGACTAAATAAGATGTCTGAATCTCATCCTTAGTCTAGTCTCAAAGCTTAATTGTAAATAAACAATATCTTAATTACTTTATAGTGTCCAACGTTCTTTCATTGAATGTCTCTGTGCCGGCATTTAGAGAGCATTCATCATAGTGGTAAATGAGTGTCTGTTTGGTCTGCACATGGTATAATTAAGTATCAGCTGAGCCCATAGCATAATGTGATAATTCTCGTTCTGACCAGCTGAAATAACTCACTCTAACAACTGTGCTCTTCTTACTCCTCTCTTTCAGTTCCCAAGAAGCTTCTGCATGAAACCCAGCCAAGACCAACCAATTACCAAGGATTTCAGAAGCCACATTTTCCGCTGCAGCCAAGAGTGTTTGATCCCAATGTTATAGGGGACGGCGTGTTCCTTTCTGATGTCTCTCCTTCCAACATAGGGCAAGCTCTCCCAGGTAGCTATGACTATTGCGATGTTGGTCCAAACCTAACTGTGTTGTGGTAACTGCTCCCTTCTATCTCCCTTTATCTGGGTTTCTTTATTGTTCCCAAGCCCCATCCATGTCACAGTCAGAAAGAGGAGCTTCAAGGCGTGACTAGTGATGGACTGAAGTGAACTGTGAAACTCACACCGGGTTTCTTGAAATAGCAGTCATGGCCATGCATGTCAAAACTCATCACAGAATTACTTTGCAGACTTGTCTAATACAGTGGCAAAGAAAAAAAAAACAAGGCAGAGACGGTAGATCTGCCTCACAGGAGACAGAGAAGTTTTCAACTGAGTTTTGAAATATGGTGCTATTTTCATAAAATGCAAAGCCAAGAGATATGAATGAAGTCAAATCTTAGCTATCTATAGGGGTTGGTGAGTAGGAGGAAGGGATGGTGTATGAATGAAGGAAAAGCACAGGTGAGCACGTATTGGCTTAGTCAGTGGTTTTGCATTGTGTTTCCCGTCATGCAGGGGATGGTCTATGATATTACTTCTGAAATTCCCACCCTGTGCTCCCAGAGACAGCTCTAGGGTGAGTATGGGCAGAGCTATCTTGTCTCTGTCTACACTCCTGGCAAAGTTAATCCACAGTTTAGATAGTCAATCCACAGATAATTAAGAGTTGGCAATAACAGATTTGTCACTTCGGAGGCCTTACTGAAAAATTATCAAGGAAAATAATTTTGAGTTAGTGTAAAATAAATTTCGTGATCTTGATGATTCTTTTAAGCAAGAAAAAAAAAATCCTGAACTAATTTTCATTCATCTGAATGTTTCATTTCTACAAATGACACCTTTTATTTAGTTTTCACATTGTTTATTCATTCATTTTAAAAATATGCACCACTTTTCAAACAAAGATGTCATTTTGAAATTAAAAGCTAGAAGAATGTTTCAAAAATAGCAAAAGGAAATGTTTGGACATTTCTGTAATCTCCCTTCCAGTTTTATTTCTTTTATTTAAACTATTTGCTAAAGTCAGCCTGGTATCATGAATAACTTCTCCTATGCTTATACCGTGGTGCAGGGCAAAGTTACTGCTAGCTGAAATAATTTTGCTCCGCTTTGGTATAAAGTCAAAGGGAAACAGTTCAAGTGACTGGGAACAGCTAAGAAAGGGTGGTGAAGAGAAAACCAGTGGCAGGTGAGCTGAGTAGGCATAGACAAGGTCTTCAAAGCTAGTGAGAAGGAAAGGGGATGTCTTTTAGTGTGATCCTGGAATGAATGGCAGACCAGGGAACTGCATGGCGTAGCAGCACATGGCCCTTGTGAAATTGTGTTTGTTTGTTTTTTTCCCTCCTACATAACTCCAGTCATTTTCTGTCTTCCCTGTCTGTGCTTGTACAATCCTGCAGATGACAAAACCAGTTCTGTGGTTTTGCGGTGCTCTTTGCCGGAGTATAGTGTATGCAGACAAGTATTCATTTAACAACTTGTTTGATTGCATCTGTTCTTTGGATAAGTCAGAAGTAAAAAAAAAAAAAAAAGATTCTTCTTACATCCTTATATGAGAGAAGTTATGCCGTACTGAGCTATGCCTTGCTCTGCCTACTAAATAAACCGTTATTGCACAGCTTGGTTTGCAAGCAATGCCCCATACCCAACAGAAATAATGGTGTCCATCTGAGCCTTTCCTGGCTGATCTGGCACATCCACATGGAAGACCCTACTGCAAGTATAATTTAAACCTTAGTCCCAGTGAGATGCTGTGAATGTATGGACAGTGAGGGGCAGGTGTGTTATCACTAACCCAGAACTGGACATGTGAGAGAGCATGGTGCAGAGGCCCTAGGTTCATATCTTACCAGCTCCGTACAGCTGCAGTCCAGTCACATTAACTGGACTTTAATGGAAAGTTGTAGAAAACCCTCAAAGACCTAGCAGGAACCTTGAGCCACCTAACTCAACAGTCCTCTTTATGATGAGATATATGGTTATGAAATATATATGAGATTATATCCTGGTGGTGCCCTTCGTTTTCATTGATTGTAAAGGGATTTTAGATTAACTCATTCAGAGCCAGACTGCAGTATGTAGACATCTCAGGCAGGATTCAGTTACTCCCACATAAATGCGTCATTTGAGATGACCTGGGGTGTTCACGTGGCTTCTAGATGCTGCCCTGGAAGGGTAAGAGTTTCCCCTACATCCCTTCTCATACCTGCCATCTCTGTGTGGATGTCCTCCTGACCCTGCGGTGTCTTAGATGTCTGTATATGAGCAAATAAATCAAGATTTAAGTCTCTACTGCAGGGAGAGCTGAATGATTCTCTAGGATCTGTCAACTAATAGCAGGATTCAGTTGCCTCAGTTTAGATGCATAGTACAACTTGAGATGCTCTGAAGCATCCAGTTTTTAGAAATGAAAAATTTACCCTGCTTCTATGGATTTCTTTGCAGAAACAATGGTAGAGAAAAATCCAACCACTTGTACAGACATAGATTTACCAGATAGGGAGCATAAAGGAAAGATTAGAGGGCACATAGGTGTCTACATCTGAATTAAAAGATTTTCCAAAACTTTGCTATTGATTTCCTGCTGAATGTGCCCTTGACCCTCTGTGCCCCAATGCCTCCATTTGTACAACAGATCTTTGGTGATCTCTATTCTCCTAAAGCAAGAGGTTCTTGGGATATTTTTCCCTTTCGGATCTGCCACCCAGGCACCCATGTTTAAAAACTTTGCTTCAGGGCCAGGCATTAACACCTCGGTAGCTCGTGACATGTGGCTGTCCCAAGGCCATGCAGCTCTTCAGTGGCTGCATACAGTTGTGCCCACATTCCTTTGGGCTGCTCCCTCACAGCAACACCTGGATATCCATCCCCACTGCTTCTCCTCCGAGGCAGATCAGGAGCTGGCATCGCTGCATGCACGTTCATGTACTCAGTCCCTCTCCATCCAGTATTACCTGTTCTCTTTGACACCCGTCAATTTCTATTACTGCTTCCCTAGGCTGAGCTGCTTCCTGGCACGCACAGTGGGAAGCTGAACGTGATGTCTCACGCTGCCAGGTTTGCAGGGAAAGGAGATGGATCAGGCAGCCAGTGAACATAGACCATCTCGCATTGTGGCTGCTGTCAGAGTGCCTTTGCTTGCATGACACTGATGGCATCATTGGAGATGGACCTGACAGTTTCCTGAATTTAGTACCTGCAGAGAAGTGATGCAAATCTGTGATTTTACAGTGTGATGCTTGCTTTTGGCCAGAACCAGACACCCAGGGAAGGAAGCCTGAAAAACCATAATAGCTATAGTTAAACAATCACGTGGGTGATGGAGCTGGATCCTGTGCACTGACTTTTTCATGTGCTTAAAACAATTAGTGTTTTGTGACTAGTGGGGGTGTCTGCCTGCAGATCAAGGTGCAGGGAGCACTCAGCAGCGAGCTGATAAGGTCTGAAAGGGTCTCTTTGAGACTCCTGGAATTAGCTGCCTCCTTAGCTCCGGTCTTCAACAAATAAAATCAAATCATTAACCCATGTTCACTCACCTCTCCAAAGGGGAAATGGTGTCTGGGTGAAACACAATACGAGCGGGCTTCTGAAGGAAGTCATAAACTCAGGTCTGCCCTTCCCCGCAAAGGCTGGAGAGAAAGAATGTCTGTTTGCCAGGTGTGAATGGATCACTACAGTGTGACACCGGCACAAGGTTGCCGGCTCTGCCCATGTTTTCCAGTCCTTATTACAAGCTTAGCTGAACCCACTGTTGATAAAGACTCCTTTGATTTACATAAGAGAAAAGAAACCTGATTATATATTTGCTGTAGCGTAGGTGGGTGTGTCTAAGTGGTGACATGAAAGAGCAGGAGACGGGGGAGAGAAGATGCTGCCTGGATGCAGACCGAGTATGTGCTCAGCTGAAACTGCCTGAGAAGGTTTAGTTACCTCCCAAAAATGGGCAAGTTTAGGTGGCTTGCTGTTGAGTAGCTCCAGATTTCTGAATGCAGATGCTGACGTGGTGGGGATAGGGCAGGGTAGGGCTGGGGCATATGCCTTGTTCCTCATTCCCTTTCTGTTTCAAAGCAGAGAAGAAGAAAGGGAGATCAGCCACCTTCTACCCTCTAGACAACAGCCCCTTCCTTCTTCCTGTGGATGAGACACAACCGCCGGTGCTCAACAGCAGCATGGAGCCTGTGGGCGTTAGCACAGAAATGGCACTGCTCAGCAACATCCTAGCAGCGTATGCCTTTATCACAGGTAGGTCTTGCTGCTGCCATCTCTCTGGGCTCTTGCAAGCGCTTTGTAACCCCTCAATTGAGCCCACTTTTCACAGTCACCTAGGGCTAAATCTGCCTCTTTGAACTGTTTATGTTTTTCATCCTTCTCTCAGCAAATTCTCTCTCGAAAGACCTGACCAGGGCAGCTCTAGCAGACAGTATATAACAGGGCTTGTTGTGCTCTGCTCTCCGCTGGATTTGCTCTCATCTGGAGTTAAATACAATGTAATCTTACATGTGTTATTATTCCTAATGCTTCATTTTCCTGGAGATCAAAGCCTGGCTTATTAGGGAAGCAAGCTTGTTGTCCTGTAATTTGGAAAATAAGCAGCACTCATATCATTACCCTGCTTAAGAGAGTTTGGCTTATCTTCAGTAGAAGTGTGAAGATGAAGTAACTTGAGAGTCTACTTAATCGTTTATTTAAATCTAGTTTAGAGTAAGATTTCCTTGGATCACAGTTTATCTTTCACCCACATGTATCTTTCAAGTAACAGAGGAGCAGTCTTCTAGTAAGATTCACGTTAAAAGTTGAAATAAAGATTGTGTGCCCTACTGAGTGCTTGGGGTCAATACCATTGACAGCAAAAAGTACAGCAGAGGCAGGTGATGCAGTGCAAATATTTCCCATCCCACAACTGCATGAGGTACCTTGTAAGCAGTAGGGATTGCCTGCAGAGTTGGAGGACCTAACCAAAAAAAGGAGGAGCATTGGCTGAATAGCATCGGAAGCACTAATTCAGCATATTTTAGGCCAATCTCTGCTGCCTCCCCCAGAAGGAGGGCCCTGGTTTCTGTGTAACTAGCCTCCCGAGGCAGGACATACTGTTTGTGGCGACTTTTTTCTTATAGGTGTTCTCTATTTGTTTAATGACAGGTTTGTATCCTTATTACCTTGCAATGCTTATTGCCACGCAATGTTGCCTTGCTGGTAATATTAATGTGTTGCTCTTCTACTACATGCTGTTAATAATTCTGTGTACTGCAGCCAGTCTGCTAGCACCATTGTAATGCAATTATGCTATTCTGGAGCACTAAGGTCTGTATAACTAGACCACCAATATTTGTGAGCTAGCTTTGCATGTCTGTGTGCCATTCAGTCTTACTAATTCATTAAATACTAATGCATTCTTGGTGCTGTGCTCTTGCTGAGATACTACCATGCTGTTACAGACAAGGATTTGGATTTGAAACAGCTAACTAACTTGGACTTTGCATTTTGGAATCACTGAGTCGATTAGTAACAGTGTTTCTGCATATGTAATGAAGAGTCCTTCTAAAAGGATCATGAATGGTGAATCCAAAGTTCTGCCCTACTACATGTCCAGTGGTGGCATCAGGTTCTGTCTTTTTTGTGACACCTTTAAGTAGCAGGCAGCTTAAGTGGAATTAGAAGTGTTCTTCACAAAAGACAGCTGAGTAGGATATATTTTTTCTTGCATGGACTTCTGTAAGGAAAGATTAGAAAAAGCAAACTTTACAGGAGTTTTCTGTTCATCACACTTCTCCCCCACTCTTACCTACAGCTGCCATTTAAAATACCTGCATTAGCAACCTCACTATAAAATAAAATGCTGTTATTATTATTTTCCTCATCTGAACAGTAATGAGCAGCAGAAGCTTGTAGGATTTATAGTGAGGGACGATTGGGACTATGATTCAGGGCTGTTGATGATGCCCCATGGACTTTGCGTCCATTGACCACAGCAGAACTCTTTGACCTTGCATTCGTTTTGTAGAGCACAAGGCCTCGATTCATTGCCTTCACAAGGTGTCAGTCTTGGCAGGATCCTTTAGATTTTGCTGTAGCACAAATAATAAATAAGGACGGCTTTAACTGTCTTATTGCTGTGGGATTTACTTGTCCTTTCATGATGTGGTCTCCTTGTGATGTGTTCACATCCACTGGATGTCAAATAGGTTAAACACAGACCTTACAACTTTGATTTCCAGTGTTGAGTTCAGGAGCTTGTTGCTCATGTTTTCCAGTGTACTTAACCATAGCTGTTAGATCGGTTTTAGTCTCAATGATATATATGTTCAGCTTGTTATTTATTACAAAAATAATTGATGGCTGCCCCATGGATTGAAAGAGCAGATGCCCTAAGCCATCTTTATCTGCTGCACATAATTTACCCCTCTGCTTTTAGCAGAAAGGATGGATTTGGCATGATTTATTTTGTTATACGTGAATATGGAGAGGTTTTAGATTATGAGTTCAAAGACAAGCTGTGTCACAGGGCACAAATATCATTTGCATAGAACTACAACCCTGCAAAGCCATCCCTCTTCATATTGCAGATTTTGAGTAGCAGAACAGTTGGAAATTTTTGTGCTTGCTTGAGTTTGGGGCCCTGAAGGCGGCTGAAGGCAGAGCAGCTCTTGATGTCCATAGAGGAGCCTTTATAGTGGCTCAGGAGAGGCAGGGTATCGGGTGGCCAGGGAGGACTGGTTCTGGTTCACACATCTTCCCACTACTCCTGACCACAGCCTTGGTGCCAAAGAAAAACATTAGTGCAAGAACTGCTCTGTTTCATGACACTAAAAAGGTCCCTCAGCTAAACTTGGCAGACTGAAATTACTGTGTTCAGGGCTTCCCTGTGCTGCTGAGTTGTCTCAAAACAGGACTTTGCAAGAGAAAATTATAGATAGGCAGAGGCAAAATTTAAAGATGTTTTTTCTGTTGGGGCAGAGGGTGATGTACTCCAGGAAAAAGAAGCTACAGGCACTTGATAATTCATGGGTAAAGTGCATACTTGAAAGGACGATCCACTCTACTACTTTTCCTGCCTCCTGGCAGTGGGGTGTCTCTTGGCCTGGGGAGAGCATCCACAAATCAGTGGGTTCCTCTCTGTCCTCAGTGGTGTTCACATTTTCTGCACAAAATGGCAGGTTTGGGTGGGCAGCTGCAGATGAAGAGTCTGCAGGCTGAGTCACTCACACATGCAGAGTATTGCAGTGCACAGAGGGGAGACATGCCAATATTAGCGAAAGCCTCTGTGCACATTTCCACCATCTTTTTGACTGCTGTTCCCATGTAAAAGTTGGGAATGTTCCTATTGACAATCGAGGAGTGAAAAATCACAGCACAGCAAGAAGCACAGCCTCTTTGCAGGAGTTTTGGTTTTCACTGTCAAATCTGTTTGCAGACATCATCATGGTTAGGAGTATCAAAGTCAGTTAGGCGCTAGTCTTATCCCAGCTTCCAGAACCTTGAAAACAACATTTCTTCAGAAATAGGGAGAAAGAGTGAACACTGTCAACGAGGAGTGAATTTATCAGCTGATCAAACAAATAAATATTATTTAGAGTTCAGTCTTGCAAAAGACTTAGAGATGCCCTTAATTTGAAAGTTGATTTTCTTCATAGAATTGGGTTTTTAATTAGACGCAATCTCTGCCTACAAACCTCAGACCTGTTATTTCTCATGGACCTGTTCTAAAACCCATCTAAGTGTTTGGAAAGACTTCACCAGTCTCAGTGACAGCCAAAAGTGTCTTTGCGGTCACAGTCTACCAGCAAGACCAGAGCCATCGCTCGTGATTATACAAATATTAAACATTCAAATTGTATCAGAGTACTTCTAGTGCCTCCTTTTGGACAGGAGACTTACTCCAGTTTTGTCGTTGCATTCAGGCTGAAGTAGTTGGAGCGAAACCTCCACATATCCCTGTTTTATTCTTCTTCCACAAGCAAAGCTTTGCTGCCAAGTTATTAACGAGGGGCTTCCAAAAAACAACCTGGGGGAGATCATTCCAACTTTTAGATTGCTTGGCCTGAGCCTTGTTAATAAGGGGCTCCTGGAGAGCTTCCTCTGTTCTACCAGGGGATTTCGGCAGCCTGTGGGACTAACTGTAAATTCCCTAGAAGATATTGCTCCTACTGTTTGTCTGGCCATGCTTAATGCTGAGCCTTTTACTGGGGCCCTCTGAAATTTTCCTCCCCACTGAGGTTTCTGAATGCATGAAGCCATCACAGGAAGCCAGCAGCGTTAATGCCTAGATTGTTTTTTATTTATTGAAACAATTTATTATAATAGCAATAACAACCTTGGCCTGGGGCATTTCCTGGGGAATTAATGGCAGTCTGGGCTGATGCTCCCAGCAGATTGTTAGCCCTCAGGAAACAGGCTCCGTAATTGCTGCTGGTTTGGTTGGAAAAACAAAATAAAATGTGTTTCTAATTTTTGACCAGTTTGAGTGCCTAGAAAATGGTGGCTTTTGTATAGAGGGTTATAAAGAGCATATATCTTTTGTCTGCATGGATTAAATTCAGGCTTGAATTAGTGACATTTTCATCAATGCTTTCAGTCCAGAAAGAGAAATACCAGGAAGGGGAAAGGTAACCCTAACTAAAGAGATTGACAGCAACTGAATCCTGCTAGAAGTTTAGGAGAAAAACAACTCTAAGCTGTCATCCACAGCAGTGGAAGAAAAAGCTACACTGCTCAAAATTCATGTGCTAATGGGTATACACACACACACACACACATGAATGCATATCAAAACTATGTTAACTCCTGCTGCTGATGTCCATACACTTTTAAAGAGGGTTTTTTTTTAAATAGAATGAGTGTTTTGAGGAGCTTCTGTGTTGGTATGATGAATCTGAGCCACCTTCTAGTTTTTGGAAGATGCTGAGCATCCATTTGCTGAGAAGGATGCCCCTTTTTGGTCTTTGCAAGTAGAACATGCAATGGGAGAGGCTCTCAAAATCACTAATCAACTGTTAAACCCCCAAATCTAGGTTATTGCTGACTTGGCTACTTTGACTGAGAAAAAGCAGAGCCCGTGGTTTTTAGCTTAAGTTACTCTTTCTGCTGTGAAAAAAAGAGATGTTGCTGTGTGAGTGGATTGTACGTATGATAAATGCCAAGACTGCAGTTGAACATAGGGTTACAGCTCAGTGAGGAAGTCCAGACAGTGTCTCAGATGTTGACAGAGTAGCTGTAGGAGCTCATAAATGCCACTGGAGCCCAAAGATTCGATTACAGCCATTGCACTGCATGAAGGGCTATACATGCAAGCACAAGCAGGGGATGAAAAATGGTTGCTTAAGTAGCAATCGAGGTGCAGCTTGCTCATGAGCTGGATACAGTAGCATGGAAAAAGGAGTGTGGAAGAGAAAGGAAAAGCAGGACATGAACAGAAATGGGAGAAGAGAAACCGCATGTGTCTGCATCTCAGGCTCCAATCTATGGTTTTTTTATGAGTTGCTTTAAAAGAGTGAGCAGTGGAACTAATGCAACCAAATCAAGCCCATGTGTGTGCAGGAACGTGGTGCTCAGGGAAGTGTGCCTGGCATCCTGTCAGCCAGGCAGAGCAGAGACAGACTGGACCAAGTGTCTTCCAGGACAAACAGATCAGTCCTGCTCATTTGTTCTTCCCATGCTCCCACACTCTGTGTGTTCTTCTTGGGCCTACGTGCAAAGAAAGATTTGCAGTTACTGTCCTGAGTTACATTGCACATGGAGGTAGAAGCTATGTCAGTGTGTGATTCCACTTTTCCTGAGGTTTTCAAATCTCTGGAATTTAGACCACTTCTTTACTGTTCACACAGTACCAGATGGGCAGCAGCTTTGCTAGTACACAAGCATGGCTACAGTTTTAATTTGAGTTCTGCCCCTTGAGTTCAGAATTACCACTAACTTCATTGGAGCCGGGACTTTACTCAGAAAGACTGCTACAAGGCCCATTGGCACATGCTTCATGCCTGCTCTGGTATCCTCTCTTTTACCTTTGGAATTTTGCTGTCTCATTTTTGTCAAATTATCTTAGCTTAAAACCTCTGGCTTTGGTCTCACTTGACTTTCCAACTACTGCTGCATTTCTCTCCTCTTTTTTTTTTTGGACTTACCGAATGCGTCTGCTGCAGTTTTCTCCTTTTTTTTTTTGTAGTCTCTCTTCAGCCTGTTTTTTTCCTCATGCCATCCACACTAACCACTCTAGCAACAGCCTCCTGTTTTATTAGCCAGATTTCAGACTACCATGATGTTTTCCTCTACCTTAGCTTGTCAGTCATCTTTGAGATTCGTTTGGTAGGAGAGAAGTGAAGAGCACAAAGGTGTTTTGTCCCTATAACTATTCCATGAGCATCTCCAGGCACTGAACTATGCATTGCCTTGAACTGTGCACACGTCAGTGTTTGGGCTCTGACCACAGAATCAGAGGATAATTTAGGCTGGAAGGGGTCTCCAGGGGTCACTTGGTCCAACCCCCTACTCAGAAAATGGCTAACTTCAAATTTAGAGCCAGCTTTGAAGTTAGAGCAGAGTCTTGTCCTGTTGAGTTTTGAATATCTCCAAATGCTTTCCAGTTCACCTTCGGCAAACTTTAAGGAAATCAGATGGAGAGGGCAGTTTCTAAAAGCACAGTGGGGAGAAGTGAAGGTAAAGTGGAGCCTTTTAGTTGCAGAGATCTTTTGGGGCTGAATGTCAGGCTCTCAGCTGGTGGGAACTGTTACAGCTCCATCACTGAGTTCAAGGGAATAAAATTCATCTGAGGAACTGACTCCATCCTTGAACTCAGGACTCCCAACAGACACAGCAGAGTAGAGCTGGCCTTGACACCTCTGCTCGGTTCACCTTCACTCATTCAGCATACCTATAAACCAAGATGATTCAGCCCAGGGGAATTGCAGTAACAATATTTATCCTAATTACACTTCTAAGTAGTCCCATGAACCAAAAAATTAAGGTAGTAAATAAACAAGATGACCTAGTTCAAAAGGCATTTTGGATCCTTTGGAGTCGTGTTATATCACCTCTGAAATGTGACTATGCAGGATTCATCCTGTTCGTGCACTGACTCCAGCTATGCTTGTGTAGCACAGGTATACGTTTTGGTGGTCTGGGCGGAAAGCCAGCACACTTGCCTTAGATAAGCAAATGAAACCTATGAATAAATAATATGCATCTTTCCATGCTGCAAGGCTTCTCATTTCAGCTGGGCTACAGCATGGAGAGCATATAAAGCTTTGTAATCGCCTTTATTCCTAGTACAATGATAATGGATGCAATAGCAAGATGCACTCAGCTGCTGCTGGGTGTGCAGCACCCTTCTGTCAGCCCTGTTTATGCAGCCACTGGAATTAGCATTTAATTCTGCGGGCTGCTCCTTCTCCTTCCAAACAACTCCAAGACATGACTGCAGAAAACCCACATTCTGCATGCGGGCAAATGCTTTGGCAGCAATTCCCATTCCTGATTTCCCTGGGGGAAGGAGGCGAAGGAGGGCATGGAACCATCAGAAACTTTACCCCTTCAGGGACTGTGGCTGGTATGTGCACACAGGAGCTGTATGTGTTTTGTTCTTTTAAGGATTGTTCTCGACAATCATTTTCTTTCCCTTTTCAGAAAACCCTGAGCGGGCTGCTCTGTATTTTGTCTCCGGAGTGTGTATTGGACTCGTCTTGACCCTGCTGGCCCTGGTGCTAAGGGTGTCCTGCCGAACTGACTGCAAACGCTCCTCCGTGAAAAAACCTCCTCGGGAGCGGGAGAGCGACAGCGACAGCAGCGACAGCGATGATGATTCGGACACCACTTCGGACCTGTCTGCCCGCAGGCACCGCAGGTTCGAGAGGACTTTGAACATGAACGTCTTCACTTCGGCGGAGGAGCTTGAGCGAGCTCAGCGGCTGGAGGAGCGAGAGCGCATCATCCGGGAGATCTGGATGAATGGCCAGCCAGACATCCCAGGGACCAGGAGCCTCAACCGTTACTACTAAGTGATGGGGACTCCAACTGTCCTGCCCTGCACCCTGGGGCTCCTCCACGCGTGATAAAGGAGAAGGAGGGAAGGAATATTACATGCGTGTCTGCCCTTTTCCTTTTAGGCATGCTACCTGGAGCAGTGTGGATGGACAGCAATAAAGTGTTCCCCATCTTCTTCTCCCTGACATTTTGCTCTCTCCCCTCTTCGCGGATGCTTTCTGGTTTCAACAGAGGTGGCTGCCAGCTTCATTTCTTAATACCAGGGAGGAAGGTGACAATTACAGTCCTTCCATGTGAGACATGGAGTTTGGCATGCTGCGGTACGAGTGCTCCTCTCTTGGCTGGGGACACAAGTCGTCCTGGTTTTGGTGTTCATTTAGAATTTTTTGGTTTCCCTTTCCTGAGGACTGTGGGAGAATTGTGAACAAAATGACAAATCTGGAAAGATGATTTAGGAAGGGAGGGGGAGGTGCATCCTGACCGATTGTCTTGTGACTTCAGAAGCCATGAGATTAACCTAATTAAAACCCAACGGCAAATATGTCTTGTTAAGAACTAGGGGATGGGGGGGAGGGGGATTCTTCCATCGTGAAATCATCTCGGTGCTTGGATGTTTGCCATAGTGTATTCAGTTATTTATGGCTGTCTTTTCATCTTCCTTTTCAATGGGAACATTTAGTTTTTTTACTGACACCTCAGGGATAAAATCCTATTATTTTTTTGAGTCTGTTCTCCCTGCTGGCCCCTGTCAAACACAACCCAACCCACATCCAACAGTGAAATTATGGTAATATAAGAGACGTGTCAGTGACTGGTGAGAAGTTAACAACCTCAAAGAGGTAGAAAAGGGTTTTCTTTTTGTTTTGTTTTAAATATATATATATATAATTGAAGATGCTGCACAGGAATGTGCCTTATTCTTTTTTTTTTTTGTTGTTAAACTACAGTTTTCCTATGGATAGCAATGCACAATGTTTTATATATTTTATTAAAAAAATAATTAAAAAAAAGGTCTATGTTTACCAGAGGAAAATGGAGACAGCAGAAGCCACATATGACAACAGAATGGGTAATAAATGCTAAATAAACTCTGGTTTGCTTCAATACATTTGAACATGCATTCTCACTTTTGGCATAGGTGTTGCTTGAGGGAGATGCTTTGGAAGAGTAGCACACCTCTGCAAGCAATCAAGGTTGACGTATTCTGCATGCAGGAAACTGGAGGTACTTTCTACTTTGGCTGCAGCCCATCGATCTACTTCTGCAGTGCACAGGGCAGGAGCAGCTAGAGCAATGTGTTGGTTCTCAAGGGACCATCCCAAAGCCTACCTGCACCGAGGGAAAAAGTTCCAGTGACTTCGTGATGCTCTGAGTCTGTCCCCTAGACTCAAATCATACCTGGACCAGAAGCAAATGTTAAATGAACCAAAAAAATACATGGAAAAAAGGTGAAATATATTTTAGTGCTCCTTTAATTGTCCCATGGAATTTTCAATGGGATATCACCACCCTACTCACTCCCAAGCATGAGTTCACATCACTTCAGTCATAAAACTAGGAGTTTTTCAAGTCTGTATGATGCTGCTGTAGCCTGCATGGCTTTGGGATGTGCTCCTCTGTCACTTAGGCATCTTATGTCTTAAGAGTTCACAAAATGCCAGCAAAGCAAATAATGACCAAAAGCTCGGAATGCCCAGAGCTTTCCCCTAGCCTTAAGGAGAGATGAAGGTGGGTGGACCTGCGCACAAGATGACTGAGGATGTTAGAAGGGGGTTGCAAGGGTTCATGTGCTGTGCCAAACAGCTGCATGGTGGGACAGACCCCTGACACCAAGGACCTTCTTGGCACTCTTTGGGGTCACTGTGGGGCTCCTTCTCTGGCTGAGGAAAGCTGCATTTGAAGTGCCCACAACTACTTCTCCCAGCTCTTGCAGGGTGAGAACAAAGTTGAGTAACTGCAACTGGTGGTACTGGGAATGTCAGAGGTAAGGCCGGATGGTGAGAGATGAGTTCACCCGGGAAGGCAATACTAGTACTGCAGAGCGATTCCTGGTCCTGATCCCATGAAGGTTCAAATAGAAAGACTCAATATTGACCTGGAATGTAATTTTGCAGCTGATATTTAGAAATAAAGCAGGAGGCAGATCCCAAACCTGGCTGCATTGCCGGGTGCTGTCCTTTAGCTGGAACGTCACGTGCACGCTGCTGAGGGTGTCAAGGAGCAAAACGACAGGATCAGGTCAGCAGGATCAGTTTTGTTGGCCATGTGTTTTCCCCTATAATGAGATACAGTCCCTCAACCTTGGTGATTAAAGGACAGCAATTGTTCAGATTTAGAGTGCTGGGTTCTGGGAGATAGCTTGCAAAACTGATTTTAAAAATACTATAAATAAATGGATTTATGTATATGATTTTCCCAAATGAATTTTTTTGACCAGAGGAAAGAGCAAGTGCAGTAAGTCTGAGTATACCTCATATGCAACTGAGGGATTAAAATATCTGCTTCAAATGTAAATCACAACTGAACCCAAGTTACAAATGGGTGAACAACCCTCCCTTTGCATTGCTGGTGCTGCTGTAAATCTTCCAGTTGAAGCCGACAATACAGAGGAGCAGAGTTGAGCAGACAAGCCCAGGTCAGCCTTGCCCTAAGTAACAAGATGTAACAAAAGTAGACTCACTGTCTTCACAGAATATGCAATACTTTTACGTACCTTCTAGCTCCTTTTGTCTCAGGGCCATGCATTTCTAAAAAGGCTTTGACTAAAGAAAAAGAAAAAATACAATCCTTTGAGCTACCGTAAGGGAAAGACTTAAAGTCATTCTGTAACAATTTCTGGATTTGTCCCAAAAGTGCTGAATAGTTTGGGGGAACAAAGACAATCAAAATTCATGGAGCTGGAGTTGATGGTTTGCCTTTAACTCTATAAACCAACAGAGCAAACCCACTCACCTGGAGTGCAGAAGAGCTGCATTCGCTGTGGGAGGGGGGCCAAATCCATATTTTTCACCCCTCAGAAGAGTGTCTTAAGAATACAGAGCTTTGGACTTGTCTGGTTTCAATCTTTTGTGTTGTACTCACTGTGTCATACGAAACATTTAAACATGCATGGAGCCAGAAATCGGAGAATAAATGCTTTTGTACCAGCCTAATGTGAATCCCTCTTGTAGGAGGTTATGCATAGCTCCTCTCTCTTACTTCCATGCTTACTTGATTTTTTACATTAAAGTGAAATACTGTTTCCAAAACCACACTATTCAAATTCCCCAAGACAGATAAAAGAGTTGAAATCAACTTCTCCTGTTTCATGAATGAATTTCCTAATCAGTGACCTTTTGGATAAAAAGATGCTGAGGTAATTTTCCATGTGAACCTATTCTTTATGCCTCAGTTTGCCTTTATAATTTTATCACAGAGGGTAACAGAGCAATCTTGGACTCTGAGTTGCTTGGCCAGTTGGTAAGAGGGGGAAGCACATGGTGTTGTATTTAAAGGTGATAGCATTGCAGTTGCCATGATGGACTGCAGGCTTGTGGCAGGTGAGCCTTGGGAAGTGAAGTGCCTGTGCTACATACTTGGACGCTTTCACCCTTCTACAAATTATAGGATACTTGGATTAGTAACCAGAGAGTCATTAAATTACAGTTTGATAATGGCTACCATGTTAGCTTTGTAAATGAATGTGCTGGGTTGGAAAATCAAAAGTCATGCTCCTGGAAGGAGCTGAACACATGCAAATGATGGGTCAGACTTTCGAAGGGTCAACCACACATTGGCTGTCCTCCTGCCTGGTGGGTCAGGTGGGGCCATTATGGAAGAAGTTCTAGTTGTGTATGGGGAGACTGCAGAGAGGCAGGTTGTTCCAGTTAGATGCCCGCTATGCTCTCCTTCTCACTCCCCATTGCCCTTGACTTCTCAGGGCTGTTTTCACCTCCCGCTATCAGCCGGTCCATTGGCACTGACCTCTTTTGTAGACCTATGTTCAATGTACCCTGAAAATCTTGGTAATATGGTGTTTGCTGCTTTTCCCATGTCCACCCTGGTGTTCATATCCTCGATGAATTCCAGTCACTTAATGAGGCATGCCTTTCCCTTCCAGAAACTGCAGTGCCACTACTTAACCCCTTACCTGCCATCTTTCCCAGCGCCCCAGGGGCTACACAAATAAAATGAGCTCTCTTAGCCATTGTGCTACCAGGATGTAAAGCATATGCCCGTGGTGCTGTGGGGAATCTGAATTGCCTCTTGTGCTGCATGGACTTTCTCAAGTTTCTGGAGACATCAAAAGCAATTAATCATCTTAGACTGGCCCAGAAATTCTTCCGCTCACAATCATTACTGAGGTCTCCATCACAGTGAAGTTTTAATAATCCAATCTGAGTTTCTAGTGTCCTCGAACACCCCAAAAAGAAAAAAAAAATCTCAATGTTACTTGCCTTTCCTTGTTCACTCATTAGTATTGGTGCAGCTTGCTCCTTCATGTAATTTCCTCTCTTTTCTCTTTGTCTATTAGTCTCTTTTTGTGGTTGTCTCAAGGACAGTCGGTTAAGCATAATTCACCAAAAAGGCAGTAATGGTTTTGGTTCGTTACACTGCAGCTCACCGTGATGTTGCAGTATGTGTGCATTTGCTATACCTCTGGTGTGAAGGTGCTCGCTTACTCTGAGTGGATGTGGTGGTTTAGTAGTATTTAAACAAATCAGTTGCTTTGGAAGTTTTCAATTACCCACCACCAAATGTATCTATTCCATCAACAGTAATGTAATTGTCACCATTTGGAGTATTGCATCAGGGAGCCCTGGTGCAATGTCACTGGAAGTTACATGTTGGCTGAACCATGACCACCTGAAAGGTGCTCAGAGGTGTATGTGCGATGGATGCTCTGGGAAGTGCATTCTGGTAGACATTCGCTTATATCATGAAAGCCCACCAGTTCCCATGTGGACCTCTCCAGAAGGGTAGATGGGCTTGGCTTTGTCCACAAGGCTAGAAGAGTGCAACTGGCCTGCTTGCT